TTTCCAAACTCAAACCACTATTCTCTATAAGGACGAGGACAGCAGTTATATGGCAACACCACCACCTGCAAGTTCCCCTCCAAGTCACTCACCATCCTGACTTGGAAATATATCGCCATTCCTTTAGTATCACCGAGTCAAAATCGTGGAACTCCCTCCTTGATGACATTGTGAGCCCACCTACACAAAATGGACTACAGCATTCAACAAGGCACTACCTTCTCAAGGGCAAATATGCATTAAATGCTGGCTCAGCCAGGAACTGCCACCTACCATAATGAATAACAAAATTTCCAAAATCCTGTCCCACATGGAACATCCAAGCAATTTTAACTTTAAAGCATTTTAATAACATTTCTGTGGTGTGAAAGTAACATGCCCCTTATCAGCCTAAGCCTGGACGTTGTTCAGGTCTTGTTGCTTATGGACTAGAACTGCTTCAGTATGTGAGGACATGTGAATGAAGATGAACATTGTGCAACCACTGCAAGTCCTATTTCTGACCTTATGAAGAAGGAAAGGTCATTAATAAAAACAGCTGAAGATGGTTGGGCCTAGGGCATTATCTGCAGGAACTCCTATACAGAAGTTCTGGATTTGAGACAACTGAACTCCAACAACCACAACTACCTTCCTTTGTGCTAGTATATTTCCATGTAGCAGAGAGTTTTCTCCTTGATGTCCAATGACACCATTTTTCGTAAGGCTCTTTGATGCCAAACCTGGTCAAATGCTGCCTTGATGTTAAGTCCAGTCACTTTCACCTCACCTCTGGAATTCAACCTTTTGTCCATGTTTGGAACAAGGCTGCAATGTGTTCAGCAGCAGAGTGGCCATGGTAGGGCCAAACTGAACATCAATGAGTAAGCTATTCCTTCGGAAATGTCATTTGATAGCATTGTTGACAATCCCTTCCATCACTTCACTGATGATTGAGAATACAGTGATAGGGCCACAACTGGTCGGGTTGCATTATCCCACTTTCTGCGCACAGTTCATGTCTGCGTAATTTTTCACAATGGTTGGTCAATACCAGTGTGATGGCTGCATTGGAACAGTCTTGCTACAGGCGTAGTTTGTTCTGAAGCACACATTATCAGCACAACTGACGAAAGTCTCAGAGTTTTTGCAGTATCCTATATATTCAGCCATTTCTTCATGTCACATGGAGAAAATCAAATTGTTTGAAGACTAAGAACTGAAGAAGTAGTTAAGTTAAACTTGTACATGTGAGATAGTGAGAAAAGGGCTAAGCCTGAGGCTGGTATGGTAGAAAAGAGGAGCAAGTTGAATAGTCAAGGCAGGCAACTGCAAGGCGGAGAACGAGGTAAGACTGATCAATTAAGCTGCGTTTATTTTAATGCAAGAGGCCTGACAGGTAAGGCACATGGACTCAGGGCATGGTTGGGAACATGGGACAGGGATATCACAGCTATTACAGAATCAGGAAGGGGCAGAACTGGCAGCCTAATGTTCCAGGGTGTGGATGCTATAGAGGATAGAAATGGGGGAGACAAGAGAGGAGGGGGAGTGGCGTTTTTCATTAAGGATAACATTATGGTTGTACTTAGGGAAGACATTCCTGGGAAGAGGTACAGTGAAGTTACATGGGTGGAACTGAAAAATGAGATTGGGATAATCACCTTATTGGGATTGTACTATAGGACCCCCAAGAGTCAGCGGGAAATTGAGAAGTAAATAGTGTAAGGAGATTTCAGACATTTCTAAGTATAATAGGGTTGTAATGGTAGGGGATTTTAACATTTCAAACATGGACTGGGACTGCCATAGTGTTAAGGGGTTAGATGGAGAGGAATTTGTCAAGTGTGTTCAAGAAAGTTTTCTCAGTCAATATATGGATGTACCTACAAGGAGCAAAATTTGATATTCTCTTGGGAAATAAGGCAGGGCAGATGACTGAGATGTGCATTGGGGAACACTTTGGGGCCAGTCATCATAATTCTATTAGTTTTATAATAGTTTTATAATAGACCTGATCTAAAAGTTAAAGTTCTAAATTGGAGGAAGGCCAATTTTGATGGTATTAGGCAATAAGTTTCAAAAGTTGATTGGGAGAGGCTATTCATTGGTAAAGGGATGGTTGGAAAGTCAGAGGCCGTTAAGAATGAGCTAACGAACGTTCAGAGACAATATGTTCCTATTAGTGCGAAGGGCAAGGCTGTTAGGGGTAGGGAATGCTGAATGACTTGAGAAATTGAGGCTCTGATCAAGAAAAAGGAGGCGGCATATGTCAGGTATAGACAGCTGTAATTGAATGAATCCCTAGAGGAGTATAAAGGCAGAAGGAGTATAATTAAGAGGGAAATCAGGAGGGCAAAAAAGGGGACATGAGATAGCTTTGGCAAATAAGGTTAAGGAGAATCCGAAGAGATTCTACAAATACATTAAAGACAAATGAATAACTAGGAGACAGCGGGGCCTCTTAAAGATCAACAAGGCTGTCTATGTGTAGAACCATCGAAGATGGGTGGGATACTAAAGAGCATTTGCAACAGTATTTACTGTGGAGGTGGTGATGGAAGCTAAGGAATTTGGGGAAATAAATAGTGATATCTTGAAAAGTGTCCATATTACAAAAGATGAGATGCTGGATGTCACAAAATGCATAATGATGGATAAATCCCTGGGACCTAATTAAGTGAATCCCGGAACTTTGTGGGAAGCTAGAGAAGAGACTGCTATGCCCCTTGCAGAGATATTTGTATCATTGACAGCCACATATGAAGTGCCAGAAGACTAGAGGTTAGTTGGAGGTGCCATTATTTAAGGAATGTGGTAGGGAAAAGCCAGAGAACTATAGACCAGAGAGCCTAAAGTATACATTGGGTAAGTTGTTGGAGGGGATTCTGAGGAACAAGATTTACATGCATTTGGAAAGGCTAGGACTGATTAGGATACTTAACATGGGTTGTGTGTGGGAAATTGTGTCTTACTAACTTGGTTTAAGCTTTGCGAAGACGTGACAAAGATGACTGATAAAGGCAGAGTGGTAGACATTGTCTACATGGACTTCAGTAATGAATCTGACAAGGTTCCGCATGGTAGACTGGTTAGCAAAATTAGATCAAATGGAATCCAAGGGGAGCTAACCAATTGGATACAAAACTGGTCTCAAGGAAGGAGACAGAGTGGTGGTGGAGTGTTGTTTTCGGACTGGAGGCCTGTGACCAGTAGTGTTCCGCAAGGATCGTCATTTATATAAATGATTTGGGTGCAAATACAGGAGACGTAGGTTTGCAGATGACACCAGAATTGGTGTTGTAGTGGACAGTGAAGAAGGTTATCTCAGAGCACAGCGGGACCTTGATCAGATGGGCCAAAAGGGCCAAGGAATGGCAGATGGAGTTTACTTTAGATTAATGTGAGGTATTGCATTTTGGTAAGGCAAATCAGGGCAGGACTTAGGGCCCTGGGAAGTATTGCTGAACAAAGAGACCTAGAAGTGCAGGTGCAGGTTCCTTGAAAGTGGAGTCACAGGTAGATAGGGTAGAGAATGTGGTGTTTGGCACACTTGCCTTCATTGGTCAGTACACTGAGTAGAGGAGTGGGGACGTCATGTTCCAGTTGTACAGGAGGTATTCGTGAAGCCACTTTTGGAATATTACATTCAAATTCTGGTCTCCCTGCTATAGGAAAGATGTTGTGAAACTTCAAAGGGTTCAGAAAAGATTTACAAGCACGTTGCTGGGATTGGAGGGTTTGAGCTATAGGGAGAGGCTGAATAGGCTGGGCTTTCTTTCCCTTCGAGTGACAGAAGCTGAGGAGTAACTTTATGGAGGTTTATAAAATTATAAGGGGCATGGATAGGGTGAATAGTCAAGGTCATTTTCCCATGGTAGGAGAGTCCAAAACTAGAGGGCATAGGTTTAAGGTGAGAGGGAAAAGATTTAAAAAGAGACCCAAACAGCAACTTTTTCATGAAGAGAGTGGTGTGTGAATGGAACGAAATGCCAGACAGAATGGTGGAGGCTGGTACAATTACGACATTTAAAAGGCATCCAGATGGGTACATGAATAGGAAGGGTTTGAGAAATATGGGGCAAATGGGACTATTTTAGATCTATTTAAATAGATCAAGTTACGCTATCTGGTGGGCAAGGACAAATTAGACCAAAGGGTTTGTTTCTGTGCTGTATAACTCTGAGACTCTAAGTTGGCTTATTCTATTTTATCATTTATTGTGCAGAACAAACTTCTGTTTTGTTGTTAAAACCAAATCTGGAGCAGCACATGCTTTCAGTGAAAGACTACCTTGATAAATTAAAACCAAACATGTTCTGTCAAGCCAGATTGCTGTGTGGGGTCTGACTCTCAATATCGACATTTTGAACATTGTAAATTTTCATAACTTAATGTATCCTTCATCACTTTCAATTTCTTTTTATCTTTTCTATATAAACCTGATGGGCACCAAGCAATTACCTGAGCTGTCCATCCCACTTATGCTATATATACTTGTCAAACACTACGAGATTTAAATCATATAAATGTGCAAAAATTTTTTTAAAATTACATACACAGTTGGAGATAACAAAGTGTGGAGCTGGAGGAACACAGCAGGCCAGGCAGCATCAGTTGAACAGGAAAGCTGACGTTTCGGGTCAGGACCCTTCTTCAAACACCTGAGTTCATCTTGTCCAAGACAGCAATCTCTTATTCCCTCAATTCTGTTCCCACTAAACTGCTAATCACTAAAGTTTCACTCCTGACTCCCATGATTGCTAATATTCTAAATGATTCTGTCTTCAAATGTTGTCTCTCTCTCTCAAGACGATGGTTCATCAATACCTCAAGGTCTATTAGAGAAGGATAATCCAATGCTGGCCTTGCCAATGATGCTCACATCCCATGAGTCATAAAAAGGTTTTCAGAAATAATATTGACCATTGCATGTTTAAGTGCATAAATAGATGCAAAAGTAAACTGCTGCAGATTATACTGTATTATGGATTATATTTTTAGTAATACGGGAATCCTACCTGTGTGAGTTTGTAAATCAGCTAGAGACTGATGTCTCCAAAAGTTGATGGCAGATCTTTCTCGGCATTGTAGTCTGCTTAATCTTTCTGCTAGCCCTCCCCTGTAGAAATAAAATACCTTAAGTCAGCTTTATTCTAAATTTCAGAAATTTCAATCTTAGATTTAGCCCTGTTGCATTCTACAACTGAGTGCTAAGATTCTCCCGGTATAGGCAACATGAAGCAGATTCATCAATGATACATTCATCCATTGTATTCATGCAAGTAAGAAGTGTCAGCCAGCATAAACCAACCATTTCTAACCATTGACCCATAACTCTTGTAGGTCACAGCACCTCAGGTACATTTAAAAGAATCTGGGTATTCTTTGGAAGATTTTAGCTTTGCCCTCTTTGGGTAGTGAGTAACAGGCCCACCATGTTCTGAGTGAAAACATCACTCATCTCTCTACTAATTTGTTTATCAAGTAACTCAAGTCTATGCTTCCTGCTTATTGAACACTTTGTAACATAAATAAGTCATATTTATCCACAATCTAGGACCATCATATCACACAACAAAATTAAATTTCCCCAACCTCAATAGTATCAAAGAAAATATTGTTAGCCAGGTCAATCTTTGCTCACAGCTAAAATTCTCCATTCTTAGAAAAATCCTTGCAAATCTCCTCCGTGTCCTTTCTACTGCAATCATGATCTTGCTATAATTTAATGACCAAACCTGCACACAGTACTCTGGCTACAACTATCCAATGTTTTCTAGGGGTGGGTTTTACAGCAGCCTCACAAGGCATGTTTTCACAGCGGGTGTAGCCAATGGTCTGAGCAGTGGCAGATGGAGTTTAATCTCGACAAATGTGAGGTGCTACACTTTGATAGGGCAATCAGGGCAGGACCTATACACTTAATACTTATGTCCTGGGGAATGTTGCCGAACAAAGAGACCTTGGAGTGCAGGTTCATAGTTCCTTGAAAGTGGAGTTGCAGGTAGATAGTGAAGAAGCCCCTTTGAAATCTCTCTCTCTTTCTTCTCACCTTAAAATTATGCCCTCTAGTTTTGAAATCACCTGCCTTAGGGAAAAGACCTTTGCTAGTCACCTTATCTGTGCCTCTCATGATTTTACAAACCTCTATAAAAGTCTCCCCTCAACCTCCTACACTCCAGGGGAAAAAAGTCCCAGCCATCCAGCCTCTCCTTATAACTCAGACCCTCCACATTCTCAGTAACATCCTTGTAAATCTTTTCTGCCCCTCTCCGATTTAATAATATCCTTCCTATAGCAGGGTGACCAGAACTGTACACAATAATCCAAAAGTGGCCTCACCAATGTCCAGTACAGCCTCAACGTGATGTCCCAACTCCTCTACTCAATGCTCTGACCGATAAAGGCAAGCGTGCCAAATGTCTTCTTCACCACCCTGTCTATCTGTGATGCTACTTTCAAGGTACTATGCATCTGAACCTCTCGGCCTCTCTGTTGACATCCAGCAGCTTGTACCAAAATTAGAAAAGCTGCCCTACAGGCTGGACAAGGAACAGCTTGGCAGTCATACTCCCTGAATCATGCATTACAATGTCTTAGACACCATCAAGACAATTCTTGGGGATTTTCTGTGTGAGCAAAGGTGGTGGTTGGACAGAGATATTCAGCAAATGAACAAATCGAATTTAATTCCAAGAAGTCGCGGCACGGTGGTTCAGTGGTTAGCACTGCTGCCTCACAGCGCCAGGGACCCGGGTTTGATTCCACGCTTGGGTGACTGTCTATGTGGAGTTTGTACGTTCTCCCCGTGTCTGCATGGGTTTCCTCCGGGTGCTCCGGTTTCCACCCACAATCCAAAGGTGTGCAGGCTAGGTGGATTGGCCATGCTAAATTGCCCATAGTGTTCAGAGATGTGTAGATTAGGCTATAGGGGGAATGGGTCTGGATGGGACGCTCTGTGGGTCGGTGTGGACTTGTTGGGCCGAAGGGCCTGTTTCCACACTGTGAGGATTCTATGATCTAAGTTTGAGGTGATGTATTGGGAGGACTAACAAGGTAACAAACTAGAAGTTGGACCCTAAGAAATACAGAAGATCAGCGGGACCTTGATCTGCATGTCCACAGATCCTCGAAGGTAGAAGGGATCCTCCAGATTCCACCTTGTGAAGGAGGGTCACTGGGCTTGAAATGTTTAAGTGTCAACAACATAATTACTGACTGGAGTCAGATGTTTGCCAGATCAGGATAGAAGATTTTCTTCTCTAAAGGCAATTGGTGAACAAGCAATTTTTTTCACAGAGACTAGTTACAATTTATGAATTTATGTTTCACCAACTGCTTGGTGAGGTTTGAACCAGTGTCCCCAGGACATTAGCCAGTCTGTTTCTCTCCACAGATGCTGCCAGACCAGCTGAATTTCCCCAGCAATTTCTGTTTTTGTGCATTCAATCAAGATGTTCACTGGCTGGAGCAATCCAGCTACAAAGAGAGATAGGCTGCACTTCGAGGAGGAGGAGGAAGAAGGGAGATCTGATTAATTTGTACAAAGCTCTGAGGGGCACAGGCAGAGTAGATAGAGAGAAATGTTTCCCCTTAGTAGTAGCTCAATAACCAGGTGGTACTATTTTAAGCTAAGAAGAAGGTTTAAAGGAGATCTAAGGAAGAAATTCTTCAAACCACAGAGTTGTGGGTATCTGGAACTCACTGCCTGAAAGAATGGTAGAGGCAGGGGGGCCTCAAGACATTTATTAACTATTTAACTGAGCACTTGAAATGACACAGCATGCAAGGCTACAGGCCAAGTGCTGGAAAATAGAATTCGAATAGATGGATGTCTTACGATTGCAACAGACACAATGGGCCTCCTTCTGTGCTGTAAAAACTCTATGACTCTAATTGCCCTGGAGTTCTCACAATTGATTCCAGACCACAGATCAAATACTGGCTGGAAAGCTCCTGCTGATTACCACCTCTTGACTGCTTCCTCCTACCCTCAGCTGAATTCACCTCAATGGTGAACACCGCTTGAAAGAAGCATTGAGGATAACATGAATACTAAATCTACTCTGGATAGAGAACTTCAATGCTTATCATGAACAGTGGCTTAGTAGAACCACTACTGACTGAGTTGCCAAACTACTAAAGGACATAGCTACTAGACCGCGTCTATGGCATACAGTGAGCCAATTAAACGGAAGAACCTACTTTACCTGTTCCTTAAACAATCTACCTCTCACAGATGAATCAGTCCACAAAAGAATTGGTAGAATATTGTGTTGACCAAGTCCTATGTTTGTGCATACCCCCATTACCATATATGACACATTCACTGTGCTTAATGGGATAAACTGCAAACATAGCATGCAACACAAATGTAGATATCCTTGGGCATGGTGAGCCAAAAGAAACAGGAAAATTGCATTCAACCGTAATCTGTAATCCCAGGGTGCAGCATAAAGACAGACAACAGTTATATGCACAAGTAATCTTATCAACTCTTGCAACATATTCTTGTGAATATTGCAATTCATGCAGAGTGAACTTCATGAATAGGAAGACAAGTATATTTTAAAACAATTTTTACAATATTTTTGAATCTGTCATATATTTTCTTCAGGTTCAATGTAAGGGTTAATTGGTCAGGGTATATAACAGGTGGATGACCTGAAATAATCTTTTTTATGTCCCTGCCACAGTTTAAAGCTCTAACGTTATTATACCGTAGTGTGACACGAAATATGATTGTAATGCAATAACATCACTGCAGAACTACGATGTTCCTTAGAAACAGAAGAAACACATTGGCCAGATATGTTCTGTAACCTGGAAATCTGATTTTTCGTCTCTCTACAAGCTTGTAATGGAGGCATCTTTGCTCTGACAATAAAAACACAGGTTATCCATATTACAATTTGACATTCACAGGAAAAAGAAGAATAAACAATATAACAGACTGCAAACCTAATACTAAGAGAAGTCAGTTCAGCCAACTTAAGTGTACAAAATACAGTACAGCCCCACTTACCGTTCCTGCCAATCAAATGCTTTATGCCTCCCTTCAAATAGCAAACAGAGAAGTCACACATGAGCACTATGTTTTCTAATCCTACCATTCAACAGTCAATTCTAGCTACTGTTATGACCCCTGCTGAAAATCATACTCGAAAAATGAGATCTCAGAATGAAGCCTGATTTGATAGACCACAAGCTTAACCTATCTTTTTGTCTACTGCAGAGGTCAATTAGAACAGGCTGCCAAAATACTTTGAAAAATAGAACATAAAACTTGGTTACACTAAAAAAACTATGACCTATCTCACATTATAGAAGAGCTGTTCAAACAATTACAAACATCAGAAAGAATTATTCATCCCTCAGCCAAGCAATAGCCTTATAATCATTCAAACCTCAGTAAAGAGTCACCTCTTTCTCTACACGAAAACCTTTCACTAAGTTGGCACAGCTATAAATTTCTGCTGTAGAATTATTTGATGGTATTTTATTTAGTTAACGTCTCTCCCCAAAACCTTTAAAACACGCTTCTAACTCAGCAAACTTATGAGTTAACATGGGTTACTTAAACTCATATCTTCAACACCCTTCAGATGTATTCCTTGCTGACATGTCCGAGGCCTTTTGCTTTTAGAATTTCCTTCCCACTGACTTCTTAGCTTCTCAGAATCTCCCCCCAATCCAGATAGCAAATAAAAGTATAAACATCATTTTTTTTGCTTTATGAACCTGTTTCTGGCATTGTAAAAATCAAGTCAGCAAGCAGTTTAGCAATTATCTCCTTAAGTATCTTGCTGGTCATGTAGCTTAAGATACATGATTTCCCATCAATACTGTTTCAAATTATTGTTCAAAATTACTTTTAGAAGGAATGAAAACTAAAATTCATTTTTCTGCCACTTTAGAACGGAGGTTCACAGATAATAATAATACATTATGAATATCATACTACATGCTTCAACATTAAAAGTTAGAAATGCATGAAATATAAGGCAGGTTCATCTGCTTTGAAAAGAGGAAGAATATTAAACTTAAGAATGCCCTATTATCAAAACTCAGCTCTCAGGTTTTGTTTGCATGACATGAACTCACCCATATTCTCTTTGAAACTACACTATTAAATTGCTTATCTAAAATAGTTAGATCATCATGCTCTCAATCCAACAAACACCTGTCTGTCTGAATTATCCTAAGATGAGGATGGGGGCAGATGCAAGAGAAGTCAGATTTATGTTACAGATAACACTTCTGGTTTGGGTTGTTGATAACCTGTTTCAAAAGGTTTTAGTTCACAACTTAATATGACGCAGCAAGTTCCAATTAAATGGTATGAGTACTATAAATGGGTACGGACTGACTTCTTACACCTGAAGGATTTTCTACTTTAAAAAATCTGCAATCTTTGACAAAGACCATTTCTGATTCACCCTCAAACCTGCAAGAAAAAATGTCTTGTGACTTTAGCACTCCCTCTGGTAACTTCTGAACTTGGCAAATTAAGTTCTGTGTCTTAAACTTTTTTGGTTTGCAAATTTATTGAATTGTTTAGAATTGCAGCCCAAGGCAGATCCAACTGTAATTTCAATTTAATTCTTTCAATTCATATATCATAAATGCCTGCATTCAGAACTGTCAGACTTTTTGAAATTGCGTCAACTCTTTTCTTTGAAATTGTTAATCTGCTTTAAGTTTAATATATATAATTAGCTCATGTTTATGAAATCTTATGTATATTTATTCAGAATGTATGTCAAAATAATCTTCAATAACCAGGGAGGGGGCATTGATTTAAAGTGATTGGTGGTGTTGTTAGAGAGGAGTTTGGAATAAATTTTATCATCCAGAAGTGTCTTGAACTCACTTTTTTGAAACATTGTTAGGCACAGAAATCCTCACTGTATTTAAAAAAAATCTTTGATACAGACTTGAAGGGCTGTAACTACAAGGCTACAATTCAAGAACTGGAAAGTAGGATTTTGCTGGATAGCTATTCTTTCAGTCGGCATAAACAAGGAGGAGTGAATAACTTTCTTCTGTGGCTTGAATGTCAATAATTCTATCCTCCTATGAAAATGCAGAGTGCAGAAGTGAACTATATTTGGTATAAATGAAATTTATTCCAGGAGAGAGCCCATTGTGATAATTATCAGAATATTTAGTCTAGCCAAAGGTCCAATATTTCCCAGAAATCTTTTATGAAGGCATAAAATAGTTCAGAAGATATTTCAAAAGTAAAATTACAAGAGAAAATGAATCCTAAATGATAAATCTTCCATATTTGTACTGTCAAACAAAAACGTACAATATGGCATACCAGCTAACCTCATAAATTTCTTTCTCTTTTTGGCAGAATCTTCTGGAGTTTTGAATTGTTTTCTCTTTTGTTTCTCAGGCGTCTGTAGAAATGCTTGTGCACTTTTCAACCAATTGCTTGCTGATCTCATGGTCTTGTCGTGTTCTGATCCACAATTAGCTGTAGGTGATTGTGCAGAAGTAGATGGAATGGGCTTTGTGCACCATTCACGTTCTTTTATGCTTTCGTCATCAGATGAAAACTCCAAAATATCTTCTGCTGTCTAGAACAAGACAAATACAAGTTATTTTCACAGCAGTATATTTTCAATACATATATATTTTGGTTAAGGGAAGGTTCAGGTTGAAGAAACTGATCAATTACAATTGTAAAAAAATTTTTTTTAAAGTAAGGAATCAAAAGTTTCCAGAGCTGAAACAATTCACAGATTCTTGCCATGATCAATCATTCATCAGCAGACGTCCACTTAAGTTCTGCTTGTTTCACATATTTATGAGAATACTCTGCTGTAATTATTATGACCTAGAGCATTTTATAGATATTTTTAATCAACTTGTTCAGATGTGCTATGATACAGGTGGAACATGAACCTGGGCCTTTTGGCCTAGAGGTAGGGACATTACCACTGCTCCACATAAGCGTAGAGCTTTATATACCTGCCTATATTACATACTACAAGACTGGAACAGAACTTGGGAAAAAATGCTTAATGCTGCCTCATTACACAGTACAATATTAGATCTAAATTAACTTTGTCCCTTGTCAATTCCTCAACATGTTGCTCCAGGAAACTGTCACAAAGCATTCTGGCTTTGTCAACTTGATCGGTCAAGTACGCAAGGAGATTAAAGTCCTCTGTAACTAGGGTGTCACAGTACCCTTTGTCAAAACCTCCAATTATTTCACCATCAAATCCGCAGATAAGGGAGACGCAGTAGTGTTAAGGCGCATGGACCTTTACATAGCCGAGGCCAGGCCCCAACTCTCTGACACCTCTTCCTACCACCCCCTCGATCATGACCCCACCCCTGACCACCAAAACATCATCTCTCAAACCATTCATAACCTCATCAACTCAGGTGACCTCCCACCCACAGCCTCCAACCTCATCATTCCCCGGATGGCCTAAAAGCCCTCCGCTTCTTCCTCTCCCACAGGCCCAACCAGTCCCACTCCACTGACACCCTCATCTGCTTAACTGAACTTGTCCATTTCCCTTAACAACTTCTCCTTCAACTCCTCCCACTTCCTACAGACTAAGGGGGTGGCTATGGGGACCCGCATGGGCCCAAGCTATTCCTGCCTCTTTGTAGGATACGTGGAACAGTCCCTGCTACACTGGCACTATCCCCCACCTCGCCCTCCACAATATTGGTGACTGTATCGGCGATGCCTCGTGCTCCCACAAGGAGCTTGAACAGTTCATCAACTTTACTAACACCTTTCACCCCAACCTCAAATTCACCTGGACCATCTCTGATACCTCCTGCTCCTTCCTAGACCTCTCTGTCTCCATCTCTAGTGACCACCCCGAAACCAACATCTATTTCAAGCCCACTGACTCCCACAGCTGCCTAGACTACACTTCCTGTCACCTACCTTCGTGCAAGAATGCGATCCCCTACTCCCAATTCCTCTGCCTCTGCCGCGTCTACTCCCAAGCTGGGGCGTTCCACACCCGTACATCCCAGATGTCCTCCTATTTCAAGGGCCATAACTTCCTCCCTCCGGTGATCGAAAATGCCCTCAAATGCATCTCTTGCGTTTCCCGTACCTCTGCCCTCACATCTCCTCCCCCCAACAAAAATAAAGACAGAAACCCCCTTATCCTCACACATCACCCCACCAACCTCCATGTCCAATATATCATTCTCCGCCACTTCCGTCACCTACAAACTAACCCTACAACCAAAAATATATATCCCTCCCCACCCATATCTGCCTTTTGCAGGGAGCGCGCGCTGTACGACTCCCTCGTCCACTTCCCACTAACCCCACCACCCCCAGCACCTTTCCCTGCAACCGCAGGAAGTGCTACACCTGCCCCTACACCTCCACCCTCACAGGCATTCAAGGCACAAAACAAACCTTCCACATCAGACAGTGGTTCACCTGCAAATCCATCAACTTAGTCTACTGCATCAGCTGCTCCCAATGTGGCCTCCTCTACATCGGTGAGACTAAGCGGAGACTCGGAGACCGTTTTGTAGAGCATCTGCGCTCTGTGCGCGACAAACGATAACGCCTTCCCATCGTGAACCATTTTAACTCCCCCCTCCCACTCCCTGGGTGTCATGTCCAATCTGGTCCTCCTCCAGCGTCACAATGATGCCACCTGCAAACTGGAGGAGCAGCACCTCATATTTCACCTTGGGAGCCTACAGCCCAATGGCCTAAACATGGAATTCACCAGCTTTAAAATCTCCCCATCCCCCGGCCTCATTCCATGTCCAACCCTCCCTCTCATCCCCGCCTCCTTGACCTGACACAGCCTGTCCATCTTCTCTCCCACCTATTCACCCCTCCCACCTCACTGACCAATCCCCACCACTCACTACCTGCACTCACCTATCACCATCCCACCTGCCTTCTCCTCTCTCTATTTATTTCTGAGCTCCCTTCCCCATCCCCATTTCTGAAGAAGGGTCCCGACCCGAAACGTCAACTTTCCTGTTCCTCTGATGCTGCCTGGCCTGCTGTGTTCCTCCAGCTCCACATTTTCTGACTCCAACATCTGCAGTTTGTGCTGTCTCCAATTATTTCATACTAAATGCTCTGTCCAATGGTATAGAAATCAAGAGGCCTTAAACCTACTCCTACCAGAATTTTCTGACCTTTGTTATTGCTATTCTCCAAATATAGTGATTCTATTTCTTGATCTTCAGAGTTAAAATCCTTTCTCACTGCTATCCTTATATAACACTTTATTATCAAAGCTGCCTGTCTTTTCAAAATATTATGAATCCTGGAATGTTTATTTCACAACATCAGTCACTGCATAAAAATAAAAGTCATCATACCGAAATCACTTATCTCCATTTGTGCTATCGTTCACCTATCATACTGCGAGTGGTTCACGCATTCAGATTTGAACTCTATAATTTTATTGTTTCTTTGATTGTTTGCATGGATATTATTTGTTGATAGGTTATTACTGTTAAACTCTACATCCCTTCCTATCCTACTCAGCTTGTCTTTACTCCAATTACTAAGAATCAATGTTGTCTTGACTTCTCTCTTTATGCACTTTCATTCAGCTGAACCCTCACAATAACCTGCCACCTCTCTTCTGCACCCAATCCCCCCTATAGTTAATACCTATCCACAACCCTGGCAATTCACAGAAACACCAGTCTGGTTTAAGCGGAGCCCATTCCAAAAGAAAAACTCCACCTTTCCTCACTACTGGTCACAGTGCACGATAAATTGAAATCCCTCTTCCCATGTCACTGAGTCACTTATTTAGTTTTCTTATCTGCTTGATCCTATCATCATTGGCGGTCCCTCTTCCACTCTCAGGTTGAGTCCCTAGGTGGCTGTACAGACTAATGCAGCCACCACAAGCTCTGTTACACTTGGAGCAGGTGGCACACGGGAAGGGGTGGATGGAGCATTAGTGTGGCAGTGCACTCTTTACTCTGTTTTCGCCTGGCTTCCAATTTTTCCCCCAGTGACAAATCTTGAGGTGCTCTACACCTCCCCAAATGCATCTCCTCCACTTAGGAGGGTCTTGGGCCAGTAATGCCCAGGTGTCTTTAGGAATGCTGCACTTCGCCAGTGACATCTTGAGAGTTTATTTAAGCACTTCCTCTGTCCACCTGGAGCTCACCTGCTGTTTCAAAGCTTGGAGTCCAGCACCTGCTTGGGGATCCTCTTGTCGGTCATGTGGACGACATGCCCAGCCCATCATATCCAATCAAGGGTAATCAGTGCCTCGATGGTTGGGATGTTGGCTTAGTCGAGGATGCTGGTGTTGGTGCGTCTTTCTTCCCAGTGGATTTGCAGGATCTTGCACAGGCAGCACTGGTGGTGCTGCTCCAATGCCTTGAGGTGTCTGCTGTAAACAGTCCACTTGTCAGAGCCATATAGGATGGCGGGAGCTACCACAGCTCTGTAAACCATGATACTGGTGTTGGTTCTGATGCTGTTGTCCTCGAACACCCTTTTCTTCAGGTGGCAGAAGGCTGCACTAGCACACTGCAGGCAATGCTGGATATCTCCATCAATAGCTGCTTTGCAGACAGGACACTTCTGAGGTACTGGTCAAAGTTCTCTAAGGTCTCCCCGTGGACCTTGATATTTGGAGGGGAGGGGTGTGTGGTTTACTTCACAATGCCAGGTCAGGTTGGTGGAAGACCTTCATTTTGTGCATATTTAAGGTGAGACCCATGCCCTCATATGCCTCTGTAAAGGTGCTGACAATGGTCTGGAGTACATCCACTGAGACTGCACATACATAAGCATCATTTGCATACAGCAGCTCGGTGACACTTGCTTGAGAGCCTTTGGTTTTGGCTTGAAGGCAGCGAAGGTTGAATAATTTCCCACAGGTTCTATAAGTTAGCGCCACTCCAGCAGGGAACTTGTCAGTGGTGAGGTGAAGCATTGCAGTGAGGTGTTTTTTTTTATTCATTCATGGGATGAGAGCATCGCTGAGCAGGCAGCATTCATTACCCATCCCTAATTGCTCAGAGGACAGCTGAAAGTCAACCACATTGCTGTGGATCTGGAGTCACATGTAGGCCAAACCAGGTACGAATGGCAGCTTGCTTCCCTAAAGGACATTAGTGAACCAGATGGGTTTTTCCAACAATCGACAATGGGCTCATGGTAATCATTAGATCCTTAATTCCAGATATTTTTACTGAATTCAAATTCCACCATCTGCAGTGGCGGGATTCGATCTTGGGTCCCCAGAACATTATCTGGGTCTCTGGATTAACAGTCCAGCGCCAATACCACTAGGCCATCACCTCCCATCATCAAGAACAGCACTGGGGCATGATGCAGCCCTGCTTGATACTGGTTTGAATGGGGAATGGGTCAGTAGTGGAGCCATTTGTCATTACCTTGACATCCATGTCGTCATGGAGCAGGCGAAGGATAATGACAAACTTCATGGCATAACCAAAGCGCAGAACAATATTCCATAATGCTTCCTGATGGACACTGTAAGGTCGAAGAAGGCCATGTACAGTGATAGGTTCTTTCCTCTGAATTTGTCCAGCAGCTGTCGAACGGTGAAAATCACGTCTGCTATGC